TCCTTTGTGTAGGCGATTGTTTCGCACGGATTCTACATCTATTGAAGCTTCAGTTGTTTCCGCAGCAATGTAACAATACTCTCACGCTCGATAATATGCACATATCATTCTACTGCACCGATTAAATTTCATTTCGTTGATAAGCAACGAACAGTTCCTTAAAATTATGACGAAGCAACTAACGCCAGAGAAAGCTATCGATATTATTTGGTTTAGCGTAGTTCTATCCTTCTGTTGGCCGCTCCCTAGTAGCAGCAACACAACACGAATCCTTTGGTACAAAATTTTGCAAGTCTGTAGTGTTATCAGCGCTTGCTCGGTACTCATGGCTTTGATGTATTCGGTTTATTTGCATTCAGACGATATACTTATTGTTTCTGAATGCATCTGCCTATTTATAGGTATAAGTCAACTTGTGATTCAGACTACTATATGTGTGATCAATCACGACTCCCTACAAGTAAGTTCTTTATTCACATTTTCTGTACATTTGATGTAAGAAAGTGTATGTGTTTTAAGTACGTGGTCGAGGAGATGTTGAGCTGTGTTAAAGAGGCGCAACAATATGAAAAGGAAATTTATAACAAGCTTATCGCGAAATCCAGCATCTTTTTTGGAAGTTCCATGGTGTGCATATACCTGACCTCGACTGCTTTTTTAATTGGACCTATATTTATGCCAAATCCACTCCCATGTGACGCGGAATATCCGTTTCGCGTTAATGACACGCCAATGCATGTAATTATATACATGCAACAGTCTATCGTCAGCTATCAATGCGCTGCACACATGTGCCTATGTGTGTTTGGAGCGCTTTTACTTTGGTTCACGGCGGCAAGGTTCGAATGTTTGGCCATAGAAATGAGACAAATTACAAATACTAGTATGTTGATTGTTTGCATTAAAAAACAATTACATTTAAGGAGGTGAGAATGATATTTTATTTCATAACTTATGACGAGACAGTATATTTAAATTCCTTGCAAGTACTTCTTTCTAGGTACGCAGAAGAAGTGGTTGGTATTTTTCGTTTTATAGTACTTTACGCTGTAGGAGTAAGCACGTTTGTTCTTACTTTATGTGGCGTTATTTTACTTATGGTAAGCGAAACATATATATTTCATATATAGGATAACAAACTAATATATACAGTTTATGTATAGGATACTCCACTGATCGTGAAAATACAATTTATTGTTGTATCTTTCACTGTACTCACCGAAATTTATATATATACGTGGCCAGCCGATTACATGAAAGATATGGTAAATCGTTTTTTATCTTTAAAGAGATTACACTTTTTATTTAAAACTAATTAATTTTAAATATTTTTTTTCACATAAGGAATTATAATTTTAATTATAGTTCCTTGTTATAAGTTAGAATATATATAATAAAATGGAAAATATATCATATATTTTCCACTTCAAATTCTAGTTATTTTTTTATATAATTATTTAGATATATAAGAAAAGATAAATTATTCTTAAAAGAAATATTGGTTATTAGATATAATGATTAGCGTATTGGAATTTGAATATCGTGTTCCATATTGTCACATACAGTATTCTAATAGAATGTTTTAGTTTTTAAAAAGATTCCTAAAGTGTCAAACCTATTTTTACAATTGTTAACAACTAAAGATGCAGATGTTAAATACATACAAGACAGTGTTTTAGAAATAATATCGTGTTATTATCTCAGTCATTGTGCTTCTACGAACATGATAAATTTTTTATATTTTTTAGAGCATACATATTTCTTGGAGTGCATACGATATAACGTGGTATAAACAGACGTTGAAGATGCAAAAAGACTTACTGAACGTGCTGATATATCAACAACCAATAACTCTTTCTATCAGATGCATAATACCAGAACTTTCTTTACGTTATTATTGTTCGGTAAGGCGAATCTAGTCGAATGGAAGAAATTGCAGCAATAAAGAAATAGCTCTATTTTGTACATGCATATTGTTTTTATTACATAGACAGCGTCAGAAAAATAGAGATAGATATTGTCTCTTCTACTCTTTCTAAAAAATAAAACAGGCTCGATGATCTACAAACATAAACTCTTTCTTTTCGATCGTAATTGTACTGTACACGTAACCGACGTTTGGTTTTAATTTTCGAGATATTTGCAAAAATTTATTGTATCAGTATTGTATTGTATTATTGTAAAATTTATTGTATTTGGAGTAGATTTAGATTAAGGATTCAGAATAGGTAAGGGTTGCAAGGGAAAGAGTCGACAATCTCTCCCCCCCCC